TGAAAAGTTACAAAGGTCTTTCACAACCCTTGAGATCACCTTCTGAGAATGGCCAAAAGTACTGTCCTCTGTATACTTTGGCATCTTTGTGTGTTTAAAAAGTTCATCTCCCCCTTTTACCTCTCAAAATTGCTCTCTAAAGCATTTTTAGAGCACACAAAACCAACATATTCCTGTAATCACCATTGTCCAGAGTGTTTGAGAAATATTTTCAACTCCTTTTTCAGCCTTTGCTATCTAGCTGCTACAAAAACAAGTATTCCAAATTAAAAGACTGCTGTCATCTCTCCTTCCAAAGGCATTTCACTTTCAGAGAATGCTCTGATTATTAGTCAAATTGTCAAGCTGCTGGGCAGAAAGGATCCAAATATCACTTCAATTGGAGAAGAAAAAAAAAAAAAAGAAGAAAGACGAAAGGATAAAACTGCATTGAAGTATCTGGTGTAGGTGTAGGGTTAAAATCTATTTCTTCATAAATAGGCAAATACATTAATTACAGAGTTTCTACGTGTTTTTGTGAGATACTTTATACTTTCTCTCAGTATTTAACTAGTCTGCACAAGGTGGAAGAGCATCAGTAGAGTGAATTAAAACCATCTCATCCTCAGATTCTCCTAGATGCTGTACTAAGGTTTCTGCCCTGAGAGATTAAAATTCATTAAGATTCACTCTACTTCATTCCTTTACATTCTCTGGACCAAGTCAGTGGAAAACAGGGCAGGTGATAGCACTTGTAGCTCATTCTCTCCATTTCCTCCTTGAAAATCAGGACCCACTCCTTGCATCCAACCGTCTAAGTCCTGAAGGAAGTTTCAGCCCTGTGATGGCAGTACAACATGTACAATGCTTAGTCATGAATTGTCTTCTGAGAAAATAGTTCTGAGGCCTAAAACTGAGCATTATTTTTCTGTTTTTGACAACACTTCTGTATGATTCTCTTGCTGGCCTAGTTCTCAGCATATTTTATATTGAAATAAATCCTGTGAAGGCCAATTTTTATAGAATCATAGAGTCAGTCACCTTTAAGATCATCTAGTTTCAACCCCCCTGCTATGTGCAGGTCACCAGCCACCAGACCAGGCTGCCCAGAGCCACATCCAGCCTGGCCTTGAATGCCTCCAGGGATGGGGCATCCACAGCCTCCTTGGGCAACCTGTTCCAGTGCGTCACCACCCTCTGTGTGAAAAACTTCCTCCTAATATCTAACGTAAACTTCCCATTTTGTTTTTGTTACTGTATATCAAGCAGTGCAACTTCTAATATTAGACATTATCACTGAAGCTTTTGATACTGACTTTGTTCTCTTTTCTGCTTAGAAATACTTACATGTTATGCTACTATAATAAAGAAATACTAGCATCAAAAAAGTAAAGTATTTGTCCAGCAGTTAGTGTATTTACTTTACCATTACGGTACAAGAAGATCTGACATACCAGTAGATAAATTAGATTAATTTCAAAAGATGTTTAGTTTATGATTGGGAAGGCCTCACAATCTACCAAGTAAGATTAGCTTAACTTGTACTGATTTTACTATATTGATTCAGGAATTTCTCACTTTGTGCTACACTGTACTCCACTCACCACCATAAAACCTCAGACCAAGTGAAACAGTGGCATAACTTACATAAAAATCACAAGTGATATTCAGCTAAGTAAATGTAGACTATTAAAATACAGACATTTGCAGCTGAGCGAGACACCTGCTGGTCCTGTTACAGCCAATGGAGAGAAACAGGCATTTCTAGGATGCAACTCAGCTCATCCTAATGTAGACATCTAAAATAGGTTAGATGAATCATATGCTAGAAGTGTCTATTTCTGGTTCCCTTTATGCTCTGGTGAGAGTGACTAGCTCAGATGCAGACGTTGACATAGCAGACGTCTAAAGTTAGGTGAGATGAACAAACCAAGATGTCTTTCCATGTCCCTAAAAAAGTACTGGTCTAGAAACAAAATACTAAATAATTCCTTTTCAGCTAAAGTGAGTATCTTTTACTTTATCAAACTTCTGAATGTTTTGTGGGTAAATTCTTCCTGAAAACAGTACGCAAATGCCCAGATAATTACTGACAGCTATCTCAGACAAGTTTTTGATAGCTTTTCCTGTTTCACAATACTGCGACCACATGTATCAATTCTGTGTATCCATTAACTGGCTGTATCATTGCACGTGATCATTGCTTCCCTAAACAAAGACTATTAAATACTCAACAGATCTTTCCAAATACGGAAGTTGGTGATAGAAAAGTAAATGAATAAAGGTTGCTGTTAATGCTTCATGAATACTAGAACACTTATTCTGGAAACGCCCATTCATGGATCTAACTGCAGCAGGCAAAGTGAGGAGAAATGCTAAAAAAAATTATGGAATTATGATTCCAGAGATGATGCAAGGCAGCAGTGAATTACTCTAAAAGGTAATGAACCTCCAGTCACACAACTTCTGCTCACATGCTTCTGCCAACAAACCCACCTATTTATTTTTGCTTGATGCCACCATCCTAACTGCCAGTGTCGATGGCCCTGTTCCACAGCAGTAGATGCCATCAGCAGCAGGAGTAGCTCCTAGCTCTGCTATCTGCTGCATAAATACTAATTTGTTTTTTAATGTAATATTAAATAATAATAATGATACATATATATATGCCACCATTTGGAAAGTTATGCTTTATGCTGTTGAATGTATGCATTTGTTTATCTCGGTAATAATAAAAAATGGAATTTCAATTCTACAGGGAATCATGTAACCATAGCAATTGCAACATTTCAGCTTAATCATACATCAAGGTAGAACTGTCTGTTACACCCTTCATGCAATGTTTGAAAATTCTTTATTTGGTTTCTGCAGTCTAACACACACCAGGGGGTTTGCCATAGCCCAACTGATTTGTCTTTTACAAAATTCATCATACCATCCAAATACAAACCAGATCTCCATCTGTACACTTTAAAATAAACCAAATAAAACAATTTCAAGTCTTTCTCCTTGAAGTGTGCTAAGTTCCTCAGTCCACCTCCTGAAGCTTTGGCTCACCATGTTCTCCAGAAATTTGGCAAGGATGCAAAAAGACAGCTGAGAAATCATGCTTCTCTCAGCATTTTATGCCCACGTTTTCTTGAAGCCAGAACTGGATACGTATTCTCCCTATGAAACAGCTTCTTGGAAGCATATTAGCCAATATCCTAACATTTCAGGCACTCTGTTTACACACTGCATGATTTCTACTTAGCCATAGTGTTTCTACATTAAATAAATTGGTAAAGGGAATTCTATGCTAAGAATAAATACAAACAAATGAAGATAAAGAACATACAAGGCTACAGAGAAAATTCAAGCACTTACTTCCCTCACTCTACAAAAAGGATTTTCTTCACATCCTTCTAATCTTCTTTACATATTCAGCTCTCAAACATTAATACTCTGGCATCAGATTGATAGGAGCCTGAATATCTCCAGTCTGAAGCAGTAGTGTCTGACTTATTATTTATCCCTTGGATATTTTTATGCATGTGCTATATCATTTATAGCATCTGCTATTCATCCGGAGTGCTGTTTTTCAATAGGTCAGCTGTTCAGATTTAACTTGACAGCGTCATAATTGGTTCTCTGCAGAGATACGGGATGAGAGCTTTTTGTTTACCTTGGGCATTGTGCTTTGCACTGTTAAGTAAGTTATCACCACGGAGTTCACCTTGAGAGCCGTTTCCCGAAGCACATAACGAAGAGTTAACCACTATGAAAGTGTCCACCTGGCAGACCACAAAAGGGTGCTCCTAAAATGGCTGGTAGCACACTCAGCAGTGGCAGATAATCATGTTTATCATGTGTTAAACACAGTCTTGGATTAATTTTGAGCAATATTGAGCACAGCCTACAGGATTCTCAAAACGATATTGTAACGCTTTCTGTCTGCTATTAAATGAGCTGCAGGATTGTGAAAGGGAAGCGCAGGTGTGCACTGCGAGCACGACTTGACTGAGATGTGCCTTCAACAGAGCAGTCTGTGTGAAATAGGAACCAGAACAAGCTGGAATATGGGGAACAAGCTGCAAAGGAGGTGGTGGAATCATCGTCCCTGAAAGCATTCACAAAACGTGGAGACACTGAGGGACAGGGTTAGTGGGCACGGTGGTGGGTTGGACCAGATGGTCTTAGCGGTCTTTTCTTATGAAATAGCACTCAGTTGAGACTTTCCTCCAGCGGCTCTGACCCACAGCCGCTCCCTCAACGCCCGGCATCCCGAACCCGCGCGCTGGGAGCTCAGCGCTGCTCGGACGCGGTCGTGCCGCGGCCCTGTCCGTGCGACAGCGCCAATCCGGGCCTCCGTCCTCGCACTGCCAGCCTCGTTACTGTACTGTCGTACCCGGGGTGGCCGGAGTTCCTGGCTGAAGTCCTGCAAACACCCGTGTTTAACTGCACGCATGGGAGCAGCGCTGCCGAGCTCAATGGGACTATTCTGGAGCGTAAAATAATACCCTTGTCTCCCGTTTGGGAACTTGCTGAGACCTTCTATTTAGAGGGGCACTGCCGGGCTAAAATAATGCCTCTATTTAAAACGACGGCATCGCCCGGGCCCGCACGGTGTGGGTGGGGGGGGGGGGGGAGGATTGCCCCGCGGCGGTCCGGGTTCCCCACCCAGACGAGGACGGGGGGACGGGCAGACACCCAGGGAGACCGCTACGGTCCGCTCCGGGGATCCTCCCGATCTCCCGATGGCCCGCAGCCAGGCCGGTTTCACGACCCGCTCTCCCCAGTACTAAAGGGAGAGGGGCGCTGCCCAAGATGGAGGCCGCTGCTCCTCTGCCTCAGGTGCGACGGACCCGCGCGGCGGACGCAGCGCCGACCCCTCTCCTTCTTTCGTTCGCCGCGCGCGCTAGCGCAGGCGCGCTCCTTCCCCGCCCCCCGCGGGAGCGCGCGCCCCGGTACGGCGGGGCGGGGGCGGCGGGGAGGTGATAGGCGCGGGAGCGCGCCCGCCGCCGCTCTTCTCGCCGGGCTGCCGGGCGTGCGGCAGGAGGAGGCGCGCGGCCGCGGGTCTCCATCGACTGTCTCTGTGGCAGAGGGGCCACAGTTTCCCGTGAGTACCGGGCCATCCCCCTCACCCGGCCCCGACGGCGGGTTGCTAAGCAGGAGCTGCGCCCTGGGCCGGGCGCGGAGCGGAGCCCGGCGGCAGGTGCCCGGCTCGAAGCACCTGGCGGGGAGGCGGCGGCAGCTCGGGCCGCAGGTGCGGGAGGCGGGCGCCGTAGGTGGCCGCTGCTGGCGAGGAGGGGCGCGGCGGGCCCGGCTGTGCGGCTGCAGAGCGGCCCGGCTCGGCTCGTGGCGGCGATTCCACCCTGCGCGGCCCCCGCCCGGTGCCCGGAGGTCGCCATTTCGCGCTCGTCGGCGGCCGGGAGCTGTCTGTGCTGAAGTGCCGGCAGCGGTCGCCGCGCCACTCCGCCGGCGGCAGCCCCAGGTGAGCCCCGCTGCGCTCCCGGCAGGAACCGCCCCCGCACGGCTCTCCGTGCCGCCTCCCGCTGCTGCTGGCGGGGTAAGGGGTGAAGGGAGCCCGAGGGGGGTCGGGGTGCGCGTTGTCCTGGCGTCTGGTGGCATAGAAAATGGCAACGGGAGCGTGAGCAGCAGTGCACCTGCTCCCCGGTTATAAAGTCATCATTAAGTGAGCGTTCTGCTCAACTTTCCGGCACGGTGCTGTTAGTTCTGAAGTCTGAAATGCGTTTACGTTCCGTCTCGGGAGCCTGGGTTTAAGCGCTGTCCGATTAATGAGGGCGAGCTGTTTAAATATTGAAGCTCGCGGTATTCCAGCCCAGTCAGTAGGGCTGTTCCACACCAACAAATGCAGTGTGAGAGCAGTGTTGTTCCTTAGCTGGCTGAGTGGGGAGATTAAATAATGGAGAATGGGATGTGTTGCTCTGTGGTGAGATCTGCAGACTGTGGTCCTTCTGTTTGTAAATATCCTCTTCTTCATTCTTTCTTTAAATCACCCTTCTGTAGAGCCTAGAAGCCAACTGTCTGGCTTTCTGTTCCTGTGCTGTTGTATGCTTAGAAAAGGTGGATGAAACTGAAAAGAACTTCACTGAATCTAACAGGTGCAATATTAATTGTTTCAGCTACTTCCATTATTTGGCATGATCACTGTGGTTGCTTATGGGTCGTAATTGTATGGGACTGTGTGTGCAGTAGGTCAGTGTGCAACACCAGAAGGCATCTGGATTTCATGTTGAGTTGGAAAGTGGCGTAGGTGCCAAGAGATGCATCTGCAGGTGGTTTTTCTGGCAAACAGTATCAGCTGTCAGAGAGACCATAGAGTGACATACTACCTCAAAGCACACACAAGTCAGAAAGCTGACACTCTGATTTTTGCCTAATCTGATAATTTGTGTGTGCGTGCGCTTCATGCGTTTCACAGAATCATAGGGTTTGGAAGGGACCTCTGGAGAATATCTCGTCCAACCCCTACTAAAGCAGGTTCCCTACAGGTTATGGTAGGTTTCTTTAGTTGGTGTCTGTTCTTACTTTAGAATATGAACTGCAAAGCAAGAGATCAGAGTTGCTAAGGAACCAAAGTCTGTGGAAATTATTTATTTGAATTTAGAATTGATATTCTCTTGGGTGTTTAAAAACAGTTGTTGAAACTGTATCAATACGGTTAGCGAAGCGTGTTTTGCGAATACTGAATTTAAAAGCAAACCAAGCAAACCTGAACAGGAAATGGCTTAGTGGTGAGAGAACCCAGGATCCGTTGAATGAATTTGTATTCTGGATTGTGAAAAGGAGATTTAACTAAAGGAAAGCTGTACAGCTGTGTGTCAGCATCAGATGATGTGGCTGTGTGTACCAGCTGGTGCTAATGATGAGGCTAAAGCCCTCTTCATAACTCAGACTAAAGCCACAATTAATCATCCTCGCATTAGTACTTTGTTCTGTAATTAGTCTCACTGGTTACAGTAAAAATATTCAAAAGGGATCATGCTTAAGGTGAGGGAGATCACCAGAATCTGATCTTTAGTTATCGTTCCTAATCTCGCAGAAAGGGTGATGTTTATCACATTCACTGCAGAGCTGGTTTGCAAAAAAATGATTTTAGAGTGGAAATCTGACTTCCTAAAATGTTCTTTATTGTCAGGCATGAAATGAGGTAACAGACCCAGTGGTACTTACTCATATCTCCTAATAGCTCCATGTGCTTTGGTCTTTCTCTCTGGCACTCAGAAGGGCAGTGGCAGAAGCGTTAATAACCGAATTGCATTTTCCTGGAGTTAATGAGGCATCTCTCTAACTGACAGTCCTTATTGGTTTGAGGATTCCGATTTTGAGCCAGGAAAAGGTAATGCAAGTCTCCCTGTTCTTCTTGCTATGGTGAAGTGCATTTCCTTAGTACCTGGATATAAAATGTACTGTGTGTATTAAGGACTGGGGATTTGTTGGTAGAGCTCAGATGGCTCAGTCAGCCTGAAACCCAAATCTGCTGTTTGCAGCTGTGGAGCTGCTGTTCTCTTTTGTTTTATTTGGTTATCCCAAATCACCTTGGGCTGTAATTATTTACCTTCCAATATATCTGAAGTGTGCAACAAACATCCAATGAAAACCAAGTAGTGCAGTTTAAATTTGTCATTCTGTATGAAAAGAGTTTGTAAAATGGGAAGCTGTACAGAGACAGTACATGCCAGTAATGTAAGCCGAGGGAATAACGTGGGAGGCTGTCTGCTGGGCAATATGCAGTGAATCTGATTTTGCCCTCCTGAGTGGGCTGATAGTATTCAAAAAATTCTGTTATACTTTCTCTGCAGTGATAATTTGCTGCATTTTAAATTAGTGAATATGTTTATTGCCTATTTGCTTTAGTATTAAAGGTACTGTAACTTAATGGGTTTATGAATATTGTATTGTTTGGGTTTGCTTGTTTTTTTTTTTTAATATTAAATTTGGAAAGAGTTAATTGTTAATAATAAGGGTAGCATGATTTGCCTGATTTGCCTTGAGTTTTGCCCTATTGCTTGTATAGCAGAAAAATATAGTTGCAAGCTGCCTGCATTGCTTTCTTCCGAGCTACTGAGGGCTGGCTGGGCTTTCAGTTATTTACCTCCATAGAAAACTGGAAGGGAAAAAGTGAACAAAGGAGGTCTGTTTTGCCTGTCCCACTTGCTGGGCTGTTGTCTTTGCCCTTTTCAGTGAAGAAGGGGGTAGAGCTGGGTCAGAGTTGAAGAACACTGAAAAGGAATTCAAGTCTCATATTGAAATGTGAACGATAGCTTAGTTTGAGAGCTGAACGCGCTTGTTTGAGTTGGAGTTTTTCTATCTGTGGGAGCTGTAACTGACAGCTGGTGATGGACTGTTGTATTGACTGCTGCAAGGTGCAGCTAGATGTGCGCTCAGGCCCTGATTAAGACGCTCAGTAAACAAGTACATATCTGATGAGACGATTAATACCGGAGATAGTGATGCTAGACAGTGTGCAACACTAGACACTTGATTGTGCGAGTTAAGGGCAAGCCCCTGCAGCTGGCACACATTCAGGCTTGCTTGTCTAGCCTAATTGCATTGCAAATACCTCTCTGGATTGCTCTGTAGCTTCTCCCTTCTCCTAAGTGTTGAATAAGTACAGAAACGTTCATCTGGATCTTCTATTAACTGTTATAAGAGGCTTTCAGTTTTGTTTTGTTTTGCTGTATGAATCAGGATAAATGTATCTTACTATTCACTTTGTGAATGCGCTGTTTTCCTACACTGTTTTGGTTTTGAAATGGCTCGATTCATAATGTGATCACAGCTTTCCCCTTGTTAACTTTTTAGTATGGAAGCATATCAGCTTGAATTATAAAATGTTTCTGTAAGAGCTCACAGTACCCCCATTCTACTTTAAGCCACCAAACTTTATAGAAAAAGCAGCATTTCATGCAGAGCATCTCAGACGCACAAAAATAGCCAAGGGAGGAAAAAAAGGCCAGTTCAATTTATAAGGACGTGATAACTTTAAAAAACAGACACATTAGAAAGGATCTAGCTGTCTAGATGGTCAATTAGAGCGGACAAAATTAGCACTGATGTGGTGTCTGTAAATCCTTGTGTAAGGCTGCTGAATTTGGATGAGGTCTAGTGGGAATGCAGGTGTTCTCGTACTTGGTCTTCACTATTAGGTGTACGTGACCTTTTAATTTCCTCTGGTTTGAAGTGTGTAATTCTTACTGTTTATGTAATGTTTAACATCTTGTTTGAGGAAAACAAAAGTTACCTTGCATAACCAGGAAATTTTGAATCTGTCTTTGGCTGCATAATAGGCTCCCCTGATCAGTCCAAAGTGTTAACATACCACGTCCCTTTACTGTTACTGAAATGTGGGTCTGACAGTGCTTATTCATTAATAAGGATATTTGTGTGTGTGTGTGTCTTACTGAACTACAACTTTCATTTCCAAGTTCCTTGTATCTGTGTTCAATGTTGCATTTGTCCAACTTGACTCTGAGAGCTTGTGTGAAGGAGTTGCCTTTTCAGTGTCACAAACCTGTGGAGGTCTGTATATGTGTATGTAGGCATTGTGTATGGTCAACTAGTGCAAAAAACAGCTGTTGTGCAGGAAGTGGGGTTACAGAGTGCTTCTGCAGCTGGAGAAGAATGCCATGGATTTAACTGCATGTGTATAGGTATTGGTCAAGGGGAGCCTTCCAGCTGAAAGTTGTCCCGCAGCGTAGGTGAAGTAGTAGAAATGGATGAAATGCTAACAGAGAGGCTGACTGAGGTGATGAATTAGGAACAAAATCCACAAGGAGGACCACTATTTGAGTAAAAGGATGAAGAAAAAATGTTACAGAGTTTTTTTCATTAGGAAAAAAAGAAAAAAAAAAAGTGGTAGGAAGGAGGGAGTTGGGGAAAAAATATCACTGGAAGACTTAGATGAAAGGCAACAGTAGAATAGTAAGGGAACATACATGCAACTTGTGCACTTATTAAAAGGGATTTTCAAGAGTATTTTAAAATGCCAGATGGTTTAGTTTCATTTTACCAGTAGTCTAGCACACTACCTGTTACCCTTGGTGGTAGGGTAGGCAGTCCTCTTCCCTGCTCTGAGAGATTGTGTCTAGTAGG